TCCTGCTGTGGATCCTGTTGGAAGTCCAAAAAAATTCAAGGGAATTTTTCCAGCCCCTCAAGTGAAGGAGATTTCAGAATATGTTAGAATTAAACAAAAAATAACACATGCATGATCTAACTCACCACATATTTGAATTACTGGGCTGTTAACAAAAAACAGGCCTTCCCATAACTAAATTAAAATCATCTTCTCTCCATAAATCATCTTTCATTATCACAGTAATTCCAGAAATCCAGGAAAAGCAGAAAATTTGTGTTTATAGAAAACACAAAATAGAAAACTGTTACAACCAAAACCAACTGAAATATTCTGTAAATTACATCAGACTGGGTTTTTTTTGCCTGCCACTCTCAAGAACTCTTAAATTCCTTATGTGAAGCCAAACTACACTTTTGTAAAACTGTAGCAACCTTCAACAACAGTACTTATAAGAGTTTCTACCAGTCAAAGAAACCAGACTTGATTTGAGTACTTCTCACTGCTCTGGTGTGAGGAAGATGATGTATTCAGCTGAACTATTAATAAAAACATATTGACCTTTTAAAATTCATACCACTGAAAGTCCATTTTAAACAAAGAGCAAACTATGTGAATATATTAATATCTTATTGTAGGAACCAACAGGAAGCCAAATTCTCATTTATTTTAGGAAGGGAAGCAATAAGTGTGTAGTGCTCTTTTTAAAGCATTACCTAAATTGTGCCCAAAATTGTTTTAACTTCCTGATTTCTAGAGCATTATCTGAAGACGGAGAAAGGGTCATTAGTAATAAACACCTTAGTGGCCTATGTGGAAGACAGAAAGGATCCATGGGATCTCAGTGACTAACGAGTTTTGGTGGAATTTGGTTGGTCTCAACCTTGTGCTCCTTTTAAAACCCCACTGTAAAACCTCAGTGGAACCCCAGCAGAATTCAGAAATCCCAAACATACTAAGTGTGGAAGAAACGTGATACTCTGAGATGACCAAGTGCACAGCCAACAAGGCTGGTAAAATGTGATTCGGAGTGAAGCAGTGCGGAAATCTGAGTCTACAGCGAGCCTGAAACAAAACCTTCTGCTTCGAAAGCAGCACACGAGCCTCTGCGCTGCTAGCTGAGGCACATGGCACCACGCTACAGGGAGTGATCAGCTCTACAGGCTTGAGCGGGTGGAAAACAACAGCAAGCCTCTTTGCCCTTCTTCACTTCAGACTTCCAGGGACAGAAGAGCCTGGAAAAAATTAAGCAAAAACAAGGAGCCCCGGGAGGCAAGGACACTGCTGTTCAGGGCTAGTTCTACAAGCCTGTGACCTACCCCTCTTTGATACAGCACGATCCTCCTGAAGCAACAAATATTGACAAATGTTTTAAGAGACATGTGGTGGAAAGGGTTGTTTTCACTGGGAAGAAGCCAAGCTGATACTTCCCATATGGTGATATCATTACTAGCGCTTCCATATGGTGAAGACATTTCCTGTATAACCTTCTCAAAACGAACCCAGAGGAGATAACTGTGGGGGAAGGGAGAGGACATCATTCAAACCCAGGTCCTTAGATACAATCTCCTCCAAAAAGACACCTATCCAGCATTCTCCCTGCTCTGCAAAATGCTGGTTATACGCACAGCAGGACTTCAGGGAACACATATAAATCTGCCTTCCATACCAGCCTCTGCCAATAAAGCACATTTGCCACTAACTACTTCCTCAATGCTTTGTACTTACCAGGAAGTTAAAAAACCAAAGGTCTGAAAAGAGAGACTGAGAGCTTGCGAGTCATTGCTGACACTGCCCTCCTGCACTGTGATACAATAGGAAGTTTTCTGGATCCTCCTGTTTCACACTTATGTTTTCTATTCAGCATCTCTCCCCTGGATTCTTCACTCTCATTTCAAGCCCAAAAGGAGAACATAACATTTGCACATGACCCAGAGCTGCAAAAATCTTGGCTGCTCTAAAATGAGAGCATGCAGCAGCACAGCACACACATCCTCCTAAAGAAGATGGGGATGCAAGAAATTGATTCTTAGGAGGTTTCACCTGCTGTGACTCTCTAGATCAAAAGGTTTAAAGAGAATCTTACTTTAATATCTGGAAATTGGCCAAGGTATGTATCCATGGTCAGAAGTGCCTGATCCACCAGCTTCTGATGGAAATCCGTCCAGAGGAGATCATTGTTCTGAAAAACAAAAGTAATGATCTAACTATTAAGAACACAGAGCTCTGTATTTCTGCTTTTCTCCATGAGTGCTACACTCAACAATTTCAGTCCCCCAGAGTTCTTAAGAAATAGTCATTTCTTTGGAAAAACTAAGGAGCAGAAAAATTAGTTGAAAACAAAGGTCACGCCAGAAATGAAGAAACAGAGAAGAAAGTCTGATGCTGCTAATTCAGGTGACCTCTCCAAGGACACAGACCCCTTTGTGAACCTTCCTTTGAAGGTCTGTCTTTTCCCCCATAGTGCTAGCCCAAGTCCATACAATGGAATTGAAGATAAAGGCCAAGCTGGTTTTACCTTCTTCTCCCAGCAGCCACAAAAATGAGATACCCGACACCACTACGCACCATTTTCTGCTTTTCAGTGCAACACAGCTTTCTGGAGGATAATCAGCACTAACAGAAAGCTATTCTAGCAGACTGCAGCCCTCACACCACCTGCCTCCACAGCCCAGTGGAGGTCATAAGCAAGGCTTGCACCCTAACCTGTGCACGCTTTATCCTTCGTCTTATCTCAGGCATAGTAATTTTCCATTAACACCTTGGATTTGGTGGAAATTGCCACTCTCTCCTGTTTTTCCACTTGAACAAAGGGGTTTAGCAAAAATATTCAGGAAAAATGCCCACTTTATGTGGGATTTTTTTTTTTTTTTTTTGGGGGGGGGGGGGGGGAAGGGGAAAATAGAAAATAATTTACAATGTTTTGGAAATTAGATACCAACTTTCCTCCTGCCTGCCTTTTCCTGAAAGGGAGAAATATAAACAAAGCCATTAAAGAGAGAGGTGGAGAGATGGAAATATTCCTGCAGACCCTCAGAGTAGCTACAGCTATTTCCCAGGATTCATGCTCCCTTTGACCTCTCTGGCTCAAATTGTCTGAAGGAACAGTCTCCCAGGAGGCATCGCAGCAGCTCATGAAGAAAGA